TGGTTTGATCCCAATTTAGCTGGAATTAGCAGGTTTGATCCCAATTTAAGGTGGAATTAGCAGGTTTTATCCCAATTTAAGGTGGGATTAGTGGGTTTAATCCCAATTTAAGGTGGAATTAGCGGGTTTGATCCCAATTTAAGGTGGAATTAGCGGGTTTAATCCCAGTTTAAGGTGGAATTAGCGGGTTTAATCCCAATTTAAGGTGGAATTAGCAGGTTTAATCCCAATTTAAGGTGGGATTAGTGGGTTTAATCCCAATTTAAGGTGGAATTAGCGTGTTTGATCCCAATTTAACATGGAATTCCCATCCTCCCATCCATCCCCCCAGGTCCCTTCCTCTTCCAGGCCCCCCTGCGGGACGAGGAGGAGGAGGGCCCGGAGGAGCCGGTTGCCGGTGCCGGGAGCGCCGCCGGCGCCGAGCACCCATTGGCCGAGTACCCCTGGTTCCATGGGACCCTGTCCCGGCTCCGCGCCGCCCAATTGGTGCTGGCGGGGGGGGCGGGCGCCCACGGCGTCTTCCTGGTGCGCCAGAGCGAGACGCGGCGCGGGGACTACGTGCTCACCTTCAACTTCCAGGGCAAGGCCAAGGTCAGGCGCTGCAGCCCCTTGGATCCCATTGCTATCCCCTTGGATCCCATTGTTATCCCATTGGATCCCATTGTTATCCCCTTGGATCCCATTGTTATCCCCTTGGATCCCATTGTTATCCCCTTGGATCCCATTGTTATCCCCTTGGATCCCATTGTTATCCCCTTGGATCCCATTGTTATCCCCTTGGATCCCATTGTTATCCCCTTGGATCCCATTGTTATCCCTTGGATCCCATTGTTATCCCCTTGGATCCCATTGCTATCCCTTGGATCCCATTGTTATCCCCTTGGATCCCATTGTTATCCCCTTGGATCCCATTGTTATCCCCTTGGATCCCATTGTTATCCCTTGGATCCCATTGTTATCCCCTTGGATCCCATTGCTATCCCTTGGATCCCATTGTTATCCCCTTGGATCCCATTGTTATCCCCTTGGATCCCATTGTTATCCCCTTGGATCCCATTGCTATCCCTTGGATCCCATTGTTATCCCCTTGGATCCCATTGTTATCCCTTTGGATCCCATTGTTATCCCCTTGGATCCCATTGCTATCCCCTTGGATCCCATTGTTATCCCCTTGGATCCCATTGTTATCCCCTTGGATCCCACTGTTATCCCCTTGGATCCCATTGTTATCCCCTTGGATCCCATTGTTATCCCCTTGGATCCCATTGTTATCCCCTTGGATCCCATTGTTATCCCCTTGGATCCCATTGTTATCCCCTTGGATCCCACTGTTATCCCCTTGGATCCCATTGCTATCCCTTGGATCCCATTGTTATCCCCTTGGATCCCATTGTTATCCCCTTGGATCCCATTGTTATCCCCTTGGATCCCATTGTTATCCCCTTGGATCCCATTGTTATCCCCTTGGATCCCATTGTTATCCCCTTGGATCCCATTGTTATCCCCTTGGATCCCATTGTTATCCCCTTGGATCCCACTGTTATCCCCTTGGATCCCATTGTTATCCCCTTGGATCCCACTGTTATCCCCTTGGATCCCATTGTTATCCCTTGGATCCCATTGTTATCCCCTTGGATCCCATTGCTATCCCTTGGATCCCATTGTTATCCCCTTGGATCCCATTGTTATCCCCTTGGATCCCATTGTTATCCCCTTGGATCCCATTGGTTATCCCTTGGATCCCATTGTTATCCCCTTGGATCCCACTGTTATCCCCTTGGATCCCATTGTTATCCCCTTGGATCCCATTGTTATCCCATTGGATCCCATTGTTATCCCTTTGGATCCCATTGTTATCCCCTTGGATCCCATTGCTATCCCTTGGATCCCATTGTTATCCCCTTGGATCCCATTGTTATCCCCTTGGATCCCGTTGTTATCCCCTTGGATCCCATTGTTATCCCCTTGGATCCCATTGTTATCCCCTTGGATCCCATTGTTATCCCCTTGGATCCCACTGTTATCCCCTTGGATCCCATTGTTATCCCCTTGGATCCCATTGTTCTCCCATTGTTCTCCCATCATTCTCCCATTGTCCTCCCATTGTCCTCCCGTTGTTCTCCCATCGTTCTCCCATTGTCCTCCCATTGTCCTCCCGTTGTTCTCCCATTGTTCTCCCATTGTTCTCCCATTGTTCTCCCATTGTTCTCCCATTGTCCTCCCATTGTTCTCTCGTTGTTCTCCCATCGTTCTCCCGTCGTTCTCCCATTGTCCTCCCATCGTTCTCCCATTGTTCTCCCATTGTTCTCCCATTGTTCTCCCATTGTCCTCCCGTTGTTCTCCCATCGTTCTCATCGTTCTCCCATTGTCCTCCCATTGTCCTCCCATTGTTCTCCCGTTGTTCTCCCATTGTCCTCCCGTGTTCTCTCTGTCGTTCTCCCATTGTTCTCCCGTCGTTCTCCTGTCGTTCTCCCGTTGTTCTCCCATTGTCCTCCCATTGTTCTCCCATCGTTCTCCCATTGTTCTCCCATTGTTCTCCCATTGTTCTCCCATTGTTCTCCCATCGTTCTCCCATCGTTCTCCCATCGTTCTCCCATCTGTTCTCCCATTGTTCTCCCATTGTTCTCCCATTGTCCTCCCATTGTTCTCCCATCATTCTCCCATTGTTCTCCCATTGTCCTCCCATTGTTCTCCCGTTGTTCTCCCATTGTCCTCCCGTTGTTCTCCCGTTGTTCTCCCATTGTTCTCCCGTTGTTCTCCCATTGTTCTCCCATCGTTCTCCCATTGTTCTCCCATCGTTCTCCCATCGTTCTCCCATCGTTCTCCCATCGTTCTCCCATTGTTCTCCCATTGTTCTCCCATTGTTCTCCCATTGTCCTCCCATCATTCTCCCATTGTTCTCCCATTGTCCTCCCATTGTTCTCCCGTTGTTCTCCCATTGTCCTCCCGTTGTTCTCCCGTTGTTCTCCCATTGTTCTCCCATTGTTCTCCCATTGTCCTCCCATTGTTCTCCCATCATTCTCCCATCGTTCTCCCATTGTCCTCCCATTGTTCTCCGTTGTTCTCCCATTGTCTCCCGTTGTTCTCCCGTTGTTCTCCCATTGTTCTCCCATTGTCCTCCCATTGTTCTCCCATCATTCTCCCATTGTTCTCCATTGTCCTCCCATTGTTCTCCCGTTGTTCTCCCATTGTCCTCCCGTTGTTCTCCCGTTGTTCTCCCATTGTTCTCCCCGTTGTTCTCCCATTGTTCTCCCATCGTTCTCCCATTGTTCTCCCATCGTTCTCCCATCGTTCTCCCATCGTTCTCCCATTGTCCTCCCGTCGTTCCTCCGTTGTTCTCCCATTGTCCTCCCATTGTTCTCCCATTGTTTCTCCATTGTTCTCCCGTTGTTCTCCCATTGTTCTCCCATCGTTCTCCCATCGTTCTCCCATTGTTCTCCCATTGTCCTCCCGTCGTTCTCCCGTTGTTCTCCCATTGTCCTCCCATTGTTCTCCCATTGTTCTCCCATTGTTCTCCCGTCGTTCTCCCGTTGTTCTCCCGTTGTTCTCCCATCGTTCTCCCATTGTTCTCCCATTGTTCTCCCATCGTTCTCCCATCGTTCTCCCGTTGTTCTCCCGTTGTCCTGCAGCACCTGCGGCTGTCCTGAACGAGGAGGCGCAGTGCCGGGTGCAGCACCTCTGGTTCCAGACCATCCTGGACATGCTCGAGCACTTCCGGGTCCACCCATCCCGCTGGAATCCGGCGGCGCCGCCGACGTCACCTTGCTCAGCTACGTCGTGGCGCCGCAGCGACCCCCCGGTGCGCCCCATGGCGAGAGGGGGGGTATGGGGGGATATGGGGTGGGTATGGGGGGGTATGGGAGGGGTATAAAGGGATATGGGGGCAGTATGGGTGGGTATGGGGGGGGTATGGGGGGATATGGGGTGGGTATGGGGGGTATGGGAGGGGTATAAAGGGATATGGGGGGGGTATGGGGGGGTATGGGGTGGGTATGGGGGGTATAGTGGGGGTATGGGGTGGGTATAAAGGAATATGGGGGGGTATGGGGTGGGTATGGGGGGGATATGGGGTGGACATGGGGGAGTATGAGGGGGTAAAAGGGATATTGGGGGGTATGGGGTGGGTATGGGGGGATATGGGGTGGACATGGGGGAGTATGGGGGGGTATAAAGGGATATGGGGGGGTATGGGGGGGTATGGGGGTATATGGTGGATATTGGGGAGCTTATATTCCATGTTTGATATCCATTCCCTATATCCCATACCCCATTTATCCATACCCTATATGTTCCCTATGCCCTGTACCCCATATATCCCATATATCCCGTATGTCCCATACAACCCTATACCCATAACCCCACATACCCCATGCACCCCTCACACCCCATACACCCCATATAACCCCATATACCCTATATACCCCATGTATCCTATGCCCCCTCACACCCCATACACCCCATACACCCCATACACCCCATATACCCCATGTATCCTATATACCCCACACACCTCATATACCCCATATATCCTATACACTCCATATACCTCATATACCCCGCACACCCCACACACCCCACACACCCCATATACCCATATACCCCATATACCCCACACACCCCATATACCCCATATACCCCACACACCCCATATACCCCATACACCCCACACACCCCACACACCCCATATACCCCATATACCCCACACACCCCACACACCCCACACACCCCACACACCCCATACACCCCATATACCCCACACCCCCATATACCCCATATACCCCATATACCCCACACACCCCATATACCCCATATACCCCACACACCCCATATACCCCATACACCCCACACACCCCACACACCCCATATACCCATATACCCCACACACCCCACACACCCCACACACCCCACACCCCACACACCCCATATACCCCATATACCCCACACACCCCACACACCCCACACACCCCACACACCCACACACCCCATACACCCCATATACCCCACACACCCCATATACCCCATACACCCCATACACCCCATACACCCCATATACCCCATACACCCCATACCACCCCTATATCCCCTCTACCCCATTCCCTTTGTCCCATCTCCCCCCAGGGTCGCGACCGCTCCGGGAGCCGCTCGACCTCCGTTGACCCCGACCCCCTCCTGGCCTCCGACTGCCTCTGAGCCCCCCCATTGGGCCCATTGGGATCCATGGGGTCCATTGGGATCCATGGGATCCATTGGGTCCATTGGGATCCATTGGGATCCATGGGATCCATAGGACTCCATTGGGATCCATGGGATCCATAGGGACCCATTGGGCTCCATTGGGATCCATAGGACTCCATTGGAACCCATTGGGATCCATGGGATCCATTGGGATCCATGGGATCCATAGGACTCCATTGGGATCCATGGGATCCATAGGGACCCATTGGGCTCCATTGGGATCCATAGGACTCCATTGGAACCCATTGGGATCCATGGGATCCATTGGGCTCCATTGGGATCCTTTGGGACCCATTAGGATCCATTGACTCCATTGGGATCCATTGGGGTCCATTGGGACCCATTGGATCCATGGGATCCATAGGACTCCATTGGGGTCCATTGGACCCATTGTGATCCATGGGATCTATAGGACTCCATTGAGATCCATTGGATCCATTGGGTTCCATGGGGATCTATGGGCTCCATTGGGCTCCATTGACTCCATTGGGACCCATTGGGATCCATTGGGACCCATTAGGATCCATTGACTCCATTGAGATCCATTGGGATCCATTGGGTTCCATGGGGATCCATGGGCTCCATTGGGCTCCATTGACTCCATTGGGACCCATTGGGACCCATTGGGATCCATTGGGCTCCATTGGGCTCCATTGGGACCCATTGGGATCCATTGGGATCCATTGGGATCCCTGCCCTTGGAAGCAGAAGCACCGGGAATGCTGGGGGGGGGGGGGGGGGGGCAAAACCCCCATTTTCCCCCTTTTTAACCCCATTTCCCCCCCCGGCTCATAATGGTACGGCCCAACCTCCCCTCCCCCCCCCCGTTTTGGGTCAGTTTTAGCTATAAAAGGGTGAAAATCGGTGTCGGAGCTTGTTTTGGGGTGAAAAAGGGGGATTTTGGGCAAAAATGGGAGGAAATGGGGGTTTTGGGGGGGGAAATGGGGGTTTTGGGGGGGGAATGAGGGTTTGGGGTGAAAAATGGCAGGTTTGGGTAAAAAGTGGTGGTTTGGGCTCAGAAATGACGATTTTGGGGTGGGAAGTGGCAGGTTTGGGGTGAAAAATGGCAGTTTTGGGTAAAAAGTGGTGGTTTGGGGGTAAAAAACAACAGGTTTGGGTCAGAAGAGCCAATTTTGGGGTAAAAAACAGGAATTTGGGGTCAGAAATGGCCATTTGGGGGGTGGAAATCCCAGTTTGGGGTTAAAATCGCCAGTTTGGGATCAAAAGTCCCAATTTTGAGGTAAAAGTGGCAATTTTGGGGTCAGAAATGCCAGTTTTGGGGTTAGAAATGGCCATTTTGGGGTTGGAAATCCCACTTTGGGGTCAGAAATGCCAGTTTTGGGGTCAGAAATGCCAGTTTTGGGGTTAAAAATGCCAGTTTTGGGGTTAAAATGCCAGTTTTGGGGTTGGAAATCCCACTTTGGGGTCAGAAATGCCAGTTTTGGGGTTAAAAATGCCAGTTTTGGGGTAAAAATGCCAGTTTTGGGGTTAAAAATGCCAGTTTTGGGGTTAAAAATGCCAGTTTTGGGGTCCCACACCCCAGTTTTGCCTCAAACCCCCCCATTTTGGGGTGAAAAACACCACCTTTGGGTCCGAAGTCCCGATTTTGAGGTAAAAATGGCCATTTTGGGGTCAAAAGTGCCCATTTTTGGGCCAAAAGTGTCCATTTTGGGGTCAAAAGTGCCCATTTTGGGGTCAAAAGTGCCCATTTTTGGGCCAAAAGTGCCCATTTTGGGGTCAAAAGTGCCCATTTTGGGGTCAAAAGTGCCCATTTTGGGTCAAAAGTGCCCATTTTGGGGTCAAAAGTGCCCATTTTGGGGTCAAAAGTGCCCATTTTGGGTCAAAAGTGCCCATTTTGGGTCAAAAGTGCCCATTTTGGGGTCAAAAGTGCCCATTTTGGGTCAAAAGTGCCCATTTTGGGTCAAAAGTGCCCATTTTGGGTCAAAAGTGCCCATTTTGGGGTCAAAAGTGCCCATTTTTGGGCCAAAAGTGCCCATTTTGGGGTCAAAAGTGCCCATTTTGGGTCAAAAGTGCCCATTTTGGGGTCAAAAGTGCCCATTTTGGGTCAAAAGTGCCCATTTTTGGGCCAAAAGTGCCCATTTTGGGGTCAAAAGTGCCCATTTTGGGGTCAAAAGTGCCCATTTTGGGTCAAAAGTGCCCATTTTTGGGTCAAAAGTGCCCATTTTGGGTCAAAAGTGACCATTTTTGGGTCAAAAGTGCCCATTTTGGGTCAAAAGTGCCCATTTTGGGGCCCAACCCCCCACTTTTGGCCCTCCCAACCCCATTTATGACCCCAAATCCCCCCCAATGGGGGGAGGGGAAAGGGGGGGGAGGGGAAGGGGATCCAAGCCCCGCCCCCTCCCCCCCCCAGGGCCGCAGCTGTTGCCCCTCCCCCCCTCCCCCCCCTTTGCCCCTCCCCCCCCCCGGGGCTATTTCGAGCCTCGCTCCCGCCACCCCCATTTATGGTAAAAGCCCCGAGGCCTCCGCCCCTCCCCCCACCCCTCCCCCCACCCCCCCCCCTGCAGCCTATGGGGCGCCCCTCCCCCATCTGCCCCCGCACCCCTCCCCCCTCCCGTCATCGAGGGGCTGCCCCATGGATTCTATGGGGCTGGGGGGGGGCTATGGGGCAGGGTATGGGGGTCTCAATGTGCTATGGGGCAGGGTATGGGGGTCTCAATGTGCTATGGGGCAGGGTATGGGGTCTCAATGTGCTATGGGGCAGGATATGGGGGTCTCAATGTGCTATGGGGCAGGATATGGGGGTCTCAATGTGCTATGGGGCAGGGTATAGGGGTCTCAATGTGCTATGGGGCAGGGTATGGGGGTCTCAATGTGCTATGGGGCAGGGTATGGGGGTCTCAATGTGCTATGGGGCAGGGTATGGGGGTCTCAATGTGCTATGGGGCAGGGTATGGGGGTCTCAGTGTGCTATGGGGCAGGATATGGGGGTCTCAGTGTGCTATGGGGCAGGGTATGGGGGTCTCAATGTGCTATGGGGCAGGATATGGGGGTCTCAATGTGCTATGGGGCAGGGTATGGGGGTCTCAATGTGCTATGGGGCAGGGTATGGGGGTCTCAATGTGCTATGGGGCAGGGTATGGGGGTCTCAATGTGCTATGGGGCAGGGTATGGGGGTCTCAATGTGCTATGGGGCAGGATATGGGGGTCTCAATGTGCTATGGGGCAGGGTATGGGGGTCTCAATGTGCTATGGGGCAGGATATGGGGGTCTCAATGTGCTATGGGGCAGGGTATGGGAGTCTCAATGTGCTATGGGGCAGGATATGGGGGTCTCAATGTGCTATGGGGCAGGGTATGGGGGTCTCAATGTGCTATGGGGCAGGGTATGGGGGTCTCAATGTGCTATGGGGCAGGGTATGGGGGTCTCAATGTGCTATGGGGCAGGATATGGGGGTCTCAATGTGCTATGGGCAGGATACAGGGCTCCCAATGTGCTATGGGGCAGGTCCCAACCCACTATAGGGCAGGATATGGGGCTCCCAACGCGCTATGGGGCAGGACATGAGGATCTCAACGTGCTATGGGGCAGGATCTGGGCCTCCCAGTGTGCTACGGGGCAGGATATAGGGCTCCAAACACACTATTGGGCAGGATATGGGGGTCTCAATGTGCTATGGGGCAGGATCTGGGGCTCCTAATGTGCTATGGGGCTCCCAGTGTGCTATGGGGCAGGCTATGGGGGTCCCAATGTGCTATGGGGCAGGATATGGGGCTCCCAACGCGCTATGGGGCAGCCTACGGGAGTCTCAACGTGCTATGGGGCTCCCAACGTGCTATGGGGCAGGATATGGGGCTCCCAACCCGCTATGGGGCAGGATATGGGTCTCCCAATGCCCTATGGGCCTGCTATGGGTCTGGCCCCCCCCCCCGCTATGGGGCCGCCCCCCAGCAAAGGCCAAGGTTGGGGGTAACCGGAGCTGAGCAGCAGCTGCTCCTCAGGTTTCCATCACCCAACACCACCCCCCCTGCCCCACACCCGCTATGGGGCAGCCCCACAGCCCCTATGGGGCAGCTCTCTACACCCTATGGGGCAGCTTTATACCCCCTCTAGGGCAGCCCCACACCTGCTATGGGGCAGCCCCACAGCTCCTATGGAGCAGCTCTATACACCCTACGGGGCAGCCGCACACGTGCTATGGGGCAGCCCCACAACCCCTATAGGGCAGCTCTATACCCCCTATAGGGCAGCCCTACATCTACTATAGGGCAGCCCCACATCCCCTATAGGACAGCTCTCTACCCCCTATAGGGCAGCCCCACAACTGCTATGGGGCATCCCCACAACCCCTATAGGGCAGCCTCACCCCTCCTATAGGGCAGCCCCACACATGCTATGGGACAGCTCTATACCCCCTATAGGGCAGCCCCACATCCCCTATTTGACAGCTCTCTACCCCCTATAGGGCAGCGCCACACTGCTATAGGGCAGCTCCATACCCCCTATAGGGCAGCCCCACACCTGCTGTGGGGCAGCTCTATACCCCCTATAGGGCATCCCCACACCCTCTATGGGGCAGCCCCACACCACCTGTAGGGCAGCACTATGTCTACTACAGGGCAGCCCCACATCCCCTATGGGGCAGCCCCACACCACCTGTAGGGCAGCACTATGTCTACTACAGGGCAGACCCACATCCCCTACGGGGCACCCGGACACCCGCTATGGGACAGCCCCATAGCTCCTATAGGGCAGCTCTCTACCCCCTATAGGGCAGCCCCACACCTCCTATAGGGCACTTCTAGGGCATCTATGGGACCTCCAATGGATCATCTATGGGGCACCTATAGGGCCTCTATGGGGTGCCTATGGGTCTCTATGGGGTGCCTATGGGTCTCTATGGGGTGCCTATGGGTCTCTATGGGGTGTCTATGGGTCACCTATAGGTCACCCATGGGTCACCCGTGCCATGACCCGAAGGGGGGGGAGGGGACATT